TTAGCAGACAATGGTCCACAGTCTGCAAGTTGCTCTTGTCAGCAGTTCTTTTTGACATATCTATTCAAGCATACCCTCTCGGGCTTAGAAAGCAGCCAGCAAAATCTGTGCCAATAGCAAATACTTTGTTATAAAATAAAAGCTCCAACAAATTCAGAGGCTCCATATGTACCATTACTGTGATCCTCCAGTTCATCTCACAAAATTGGTTCTAGTTTTTTAAATCTACCATTCAGAGATTCATGAGCAGAAGGCGAAAAAAAAATGAATTGCCAAGTGAATTGCCAGCGAGTTTCTGGAGGCAGACGATTAAACTTGAAGTAGCTGTAAAGGAGTTATGTCCCGGGGAATTAGAAGAGAATAAACATCTTTATAAAAATGCAAAACAGTTGCTCTTCTGCAGGTGGGGGGATGCTGTTGTCAAACAGGAACAATTGTCTCATCATCAGCTTTTGCTATGACCACCTTCAGGGGGTCCACTAAAAAAGAGAGGCAAAAGGATGTGCAATGCCTGAGCTAAGCCTGCCTGTTCTTGAGGGCACCAGGGTGCTGCTCACTGCTTGTGTTGCCAGCAAAATAACATAATCCAGCCAAACGTGGGTCACCAAATGGAGGCCTCAGCTCAGAGGTAGATCCGCTGTGTCACCTGCACAGGATGACATGGGAAGGAAGTCCCTTGGGAACAAGAGATAACTGACATGGAAAGGCTCTGTGATTTACGTATGGATGGTGCCGCCACTGAGCTTTATGAATGAGGTGTATGTGCTCCTAGTTATCACTTCACATATCCCTACTATTTACCTATTTGCTTCTTTTTTCCCAGTGAAGAGCCTTTGAAGGCAGAAACACAGCATCATGGCTCTGGAGAGGGTTAATGTGTCCAGTTCTCTCAACCCTGCTGTCCTGTGCCTTTTTATGTGTCCTGGAGTCCAGCAGTCTTCTGGTCTGGCTGCTGGGTGCCAAACAAGATACACAGGGCATCTAAAATGGTGTCGGGCTCCCATCTTCAGGCATCTGGGTCCTTCCTCTCCTGCTGGGACCCTACATCAGGGAGAGGTGAGGGTGCATCATGGGCAGGTCCCAGTCCAGTGAGCGCATCTTCCAGCCATGTGCCAATGGTGCCCCTCAAGAAAAGACCTCATAAACATTTGTGCACATACAAGTTTTGAAGAAAGACTTCCCAGTGCTCTTTTTTAGAGGGAGAGGCAGCAGCTCCCCATCACTCCCTGCTTGGTAGGGTAGTTATAGCAATTCATGGGGCTGGATTGCAGTCTGTCCGACAATATCACGCTGTGACCTGCAGCAGCTCAAGGTAAACGTGCCAGGGGCAGGACGTGCCAAGTAAAACTGCCTCTGCAGTGTGCTGTGTCAGTCAGCTGCAGCGAATATGTGTATGTGGGGCACACGGGTGCGTGGGGAGCTCACCCCAAACTGGCCACTCTTGGAGGCTGGGAGTTACACATCAGAGTGTGTAGCCATCCCATTGTGCTTGTCCCGTTCCCCTTAAGATCTGGCCACGGCTTCCCTGCTAGCCGAACCCCATCTGGTCAGTTTGAAGCATTCTCAGGTTTCCCTCCGCAGCCTGCTACCCCAGCCCCTCGCCAGCTTGCTGCAGCAGAAAGCAACCAGGGGAGTAGCTGTTCAAGGCAAAACTGGGTCGAGGAACGTTTACGCTCAATTAACACATGTCACCATTCTGTCTCCACAACTGCAGTGAACGCACCTCAAAAGTGAGAACAACCTGAATTAAGGCTGCCTGTAATGTGAAACCTCTGCTGCCTGCCCCAGCGCTTCCTGGGGTGGTGTTTCTGAATTTATGCTCTGCATGGCTATCACGCTGTGACTGAGTGACTTGGATTTCTAACGTCTGCTCTAATGACTGTGCTTTGCTCCTCAGTTTTTGCCCTTCTCTTCAGCTTGATCGGAAGCACATCTGGAGTTACAAAGTATTTCACTCCAGCCCAAGTTCCTCCTTTGACTATGATACATGGCAATGCCACCAACATTGATCGGGGCTGCGAGGACTTGTGAGTCCCTGGAGGGTGCCCCGTAACGGTGGAGCATCCTTCCCCTGAGGTGCCCGAAGCCCTGATGTCCCACGCAGAGCATGCCAGGGGGTCTCTGGCTGTGCTGCCCCAGTGCAGAGCTGGTCTGCGACTTGTAAGGGGTACAAAGAGTTTCCAAAGCACCTTCCCCCCTCTGTCTTTTGGGGAGAGGTGGGTGTGGGTGCTGCACACGCAAAGGCTGGGCTGAGATCACAGCTGCACAACCTTCTGATATTTGTAAACTTTTTTTTTTTTTTTTTTTTTTTAACCAGTGCAAAAAATCCGGCTCTGTTCCTGTCACACATCTGCATTTTCTCTTTCAGAACCTCAACTCACTCCTTCCTTTGGGTCCCTCCATGCATATATGTCTGATTTGTATTATCCCTTTGTTTGAATTGTAAGCACTTCAGAGCAGCAATCATGTCTCCATCTGTGTCTTGACAAGGGACTTACATGATAGGTTGGCTTAAAACCACCCGTCTGTAACTGAGCTATCTTAGGCTTTTGCAAGGAATGAACTTAATGAAGAAAAGTTTTCTTTTTGCTGCACAACAATCTGATCTCTTTGCCAGCTTTTTTTTTTTTTTTCATGAGAAAAGTCTTTCCCAAGACTGATGTGAATTTGAAAGGCAGAGCTGCCAGTCTCAAGTATTATTGATAATCAGTTTATTATTTAAATATTGTGGTGGTTTTAGCTTGCTTTTTGGTTTCTCGTACTTCCAGTTACTACAAGTGCACATTTGCAGATACATATCCTTTATTAAATTAATATGTATGTATATATAGATAGATGAAGGGAGAGCTCACTCATTTTCTTGGTCACAGCAGCAGAGGCTACAAGGAAAAAATGCTGTGAGATTCACAGTAAAAATCACTGGAGTGGGCAACTCTCTAACTAAAAATAGGCTGGACTCAGAAATATGTCCTTCTACATACTTTCCTGTCCCCTGCCCATGTAACACTGTGTAGTCCATGTTCCTGAAAGTGAGTCAACCAGGTGGCAGTGCTATCCTGACAAGCCAGGTGTAAATCAAGGTGAGCTGCCCAAATGTGTGCTGTGGTCTTTTGGGACAACCGGGGGTGTCCCTGGTTTGGGGCTGTAAGGAGTTAGGCATGCGATCATCATCAAATGCCATTAACCAAATGTTATAACCTGTCATAATGTTATGTTAAGAGCATGGAACCCACAGTTGTATTTTTTAACTGCAATACTTGGAGGCAAAGTTGTTGTTTTGGATGGTCATCCTCACCTCTGAATTTCCAAGACACAAACCAACATATTTTGCTCCGTCTCCGCACACATAGTCCCAAATTAGCTCTTAATTAGGTGCATGTAGATACCATTTTTCTTCTCGTCTGAGATGTAACAGACACAGTCCCATTCTGTGAGGAAGATAAGCGGGGAAAAGGCACTACATGATAACAGGATTAGACGGAGTGTGAGCACCCGTCCCCCAGCGCTGCGAGGGACGGAGCGAAATTCGCTTAATGGCTTCGTGAGTCAGGGATCGTTTTCACAGCAGCACTCCAAATACAGCCTGTGCTACGAGTGGAAATGACTTGTTGTGAGGAAGAAACTGTTTATCTGCATGATAGATTGGTGTCTTCTGGAATTTAAATATTAATTGAAAAGTCAAGGTCAGAGGGCAGCTGACACTTGACTTTGCTCTCTTTCCTCCATCCACGGCTTTGATCATGCTACATCTTCCTTTGTGCCTGGTGCTCGAGAGAATATCCCGGGGTCATGGCCCGCTTCCTAGTCAAGAGGTATAAACCTCCTGGCTTAACCGGCTGGGGCCTGGCTTTAGCGGGGGGCAGGGGTCTGAAGGCAGAGGGGGGAGCGTTTGCTTCATGCTTTTCACATTTCCCACATAACCCAAAGCAGACTAAACAAAACCAGTGTGAAATCTCATGGCTTGATGCCGCTATGGTTATATTTTTTAAGCTGTCATCCATTCATTTATACTTATGTTTATTCCCTGGATTTACAGCTTTTTTTTTCACTCTTTTCTTGTGGGGGGGGCTGAAGCCTTTTGAAAGGGGATTGCAGTGAGCAGTGGCCTATGATTAAAGCTGTGTGTTTTTTCTTGATGCCGCTCTTCTGCAGCAGTGTCACACATGGTAGCATTTAGGAGCCCTTCACAGCTGAGGTGTTTCAAACACTAATGAATGGAAGTTTGGCCATATAATGCAGACAAGCTTGAAGGCATGCTCTGCTGAATGGTGTACTGTAGTGGCCTGGGAAAGGAAGAGAGTTATAAATTGTGTCAGTTAGCCACCCAGACAAAATGAAGCCATGTGGAAAATCAAATCTATTAAAGTATGAAGACTGTTATAAGCTGTTTTAAGCTGGTCATTCTTAAAAGGTCTCAGTTGGCTGAGGGGGTAAATTCCTATTCTTCCTAGATCTTTTTCACGTGCTGGCTTAGGTGATGATGTGCAGGATTTGATAAAAAACAACCTTTCACTCGCAGCCCCTTTTATCAGAAATGTTTATTGCCCCCGGTTTACCGCCCGTGTCCTGAAAGGCCGAGTGCATTGGTTAAATAAGCAGCGTAAGAGCGCTGCGTTCAGTCAGGCCTGCTGAAGGCAAACATGAGGGCAGCACCAGGGCAGAGCTGAGGAGGAGGAGAAGGCTTTCCAGAGCACCCACTTGACATTGGATACCCTCTCAAAATGCTTTCCAGTTTCTGGAAAGGCCCATGACAGAACACGACAGGGCTTTCTTTTTCTTGGCACCCCCTGGGGTAGGAGGAGAGCCCAGCAAACCATGGCAGTGTGATCGGGATCAGGGGACCTTCTTATCCTTCCCAAGGTGTCTTTTTGAGAGGTCAAAGGAGCTGTAAAGAGCGTTTTGTTAGCTCAGGATGCAATTGTCAGCTGCGTGAGAGAAGGAGGTGACAGCCTAAGACCCATGCTCACCATGTATTTATTTTTCCTTTTTATATGTTCTAGGAAGAGACTGAAGAAACGTCCTCACAAGAATCTGCAGAGGAAGACTAGGAGACCGCACCATGCAATTTCTACCTCATCAGCAGTTGGGTCTTTTGAAGGGAGAAGACACTGCCTTGACCACTTATTTTCTATTGCCATGGTCTTTCCACTTTTGCCTGGGGGAAAAAAAATCGCATAACCTTAAAAAGGATTTGACTAATCATCTTCTTTGTAATCCCTTCACAGTCCCAGGTTTAGTGAAAAACTGCTGTAACACAACGGGGACACAGATTAACGATGCAACTTTTAATTACTGTTTTCTTTTTTCTTAACCTACTAATAGTTTGTTTGAGCTGCTAAGTAAGGGTGACTGGGTCAAGAAGAGCTCCAGATCAGGTTTAAGTCATTCACTGCACTGCATATAAACAAGAAACTTGTAACATATTAATTATAATGGGCATTGAAATAGGAAAGGCCTGGTGTGTAACACTAGGCCTTGCAACACTTCCAGCAACCCACTCCCTACTTAGTGTACTCCCTGTTTTAGAACACCAAAGATAAGGGATAGATACTACTTTTTTTTTTTTTTTTTTTTTGGTAACCTTCTTGTAGACTTGTACTTGATTTTTTTATTTTTTTTTAAGACTTACTGTTATTTCAGGAAAAAAATGAAAGCTGATCTCTCACTTCATTCAGCTGGTAATCAGAAGAAAGAAAACAACACGAAAAAGGTACTTTCATTTTGCAAAAGGGAAGAAAGACAAAGATACGTTGTATAGTTACAGATACAAACATATCAGCAGAAGTAGTAATAAACAAAACGAACAGCCCTCACCTTCTGGACAATAGGAAGTCCGACAGAGTCGGCTTTCTGTAGAGCCAGGCGTTTTCTGTGGAAACAGAAATGACTGGCACCAAACACTTAAGCCATTAATGACTAAGTCTTTATCAAGAAAAGTGTTTTAAAACGTATAGAAAGGTACCTCGAAATTAATACTGAATTTGTCTGAACAAAATAATCCAGATGTTTTAGTAGTTTCAACTAATTCCACTCACCCCATACCAGGTTTCAAACAAAACGAATCTCTTCTCATTACTCATCAGTCATGATGTAAGAACCAACACCATGTACCTCAGCTAAGCTTGTGTATTACTTTAAGCAATGTATTTTGACATAGGATGGTTCACTGTGCACCTCTGTGCCGGTGGCGTTTCTCCATCTTTTCATTCAAAGCAGCACTTTTAGCAACAGATGCAATATTACCCCACTATTCAATACTACCTCTGATTTTTACAATTAACTCAACAGACTGATAAATACATGCTGCTATACACATTCAATGCAGGAAATTTTTACTGGGTAGATAATCACGAGTATCTGCATTTTGCCCTTATTTCTACTTCAACACTTAATTGCAGTTAAGGAAGCAATATCTTTATTGTGTTTCGGCATGACTATGTATTTTTCTTTCTCCTTTTTTTTTTTAATGTACTTACCCTATTCTCTGCTAGACTTCTGTGTAATGTACTGTTAACTTGAATATATTTTTGTACTGAATTGCTGATAGGTTTGTAAGGATAATTTTCTTCAATGACACTACATGACATAGAAAAAAAATTTAGCTGTAATGTTTAAATATTACTGTCCAAGTTTGTACCTCAAGTGAATTGTTTAAAGAAATGGACTAATTGATTGACAAAGACCTACCTCCAGACTTTAAATGGAATGAACTTGTTACTTTCAGCATTAGTTTTGAGACGTTTGAAACAGTTAGGACTGCAACTAATCCCTAATTCAAAACTATTTTTGTAAAATAACTTGTGGAAAATGAACACGTTTTAAATTACTTTCGTATTAAAAAAAAAAAAAAATGAACAAAAAAAAACCTTCAAAGAAACTTGAAGCTTTGTAGGTGGGAAGCAACAAGCTCAGCTTTTGCATAATGCAATCACGAATATGTGTTTAAAAAAAAAAATTAGTAGATTGTAAGAAAATACTTGACAAGTATTTTCATGTATTTTACACAAATGTGATTTTGTAATATGTTTCAGCCAGATTTATTTTAAATGCTTCTTATGTAGAGGTTTTTTATTCTCCTCTCTCTCACTCTTTTTTTTCCCCTTTTTTTTCCTCTTTCTCTCTTCCTATTTCATTTTCTCTCTTTCTGTTTAATTTCCCTTCTTCCTCTCCTAGTCAGTACTTTGTAACATTGTATTAATAACTGGGCCAGGGGTAGGTTCTCAGGAAGGCGTCTGTTGGTATGGCTTTATTAGCAAGCCAAACGCAGTTAAAGGTAACTACTTGCTGGCTTCTTCCAAGAGGCAGTGTCAAGAACTGCGGACCTCCTCAAAAGACTGCAGAGGGTTCATTGTCGGAGATCGCTGAGAAAGAGCTGATCGGAGTGTTAAAACGAGACACGTTGATATTAAGTGAATGGGAAATAATCCCAGCTATGCAGTAGCTCTAGCAGGCCAAATCCAGCGTCACTTGAAGTCAGTAGAAGGAATTCTGCTGACTTCAAAGGGCATCGAATCGAGCCTTAGCAAATCCCTTCTTATTTTTTGCCTTTTTTTGAAACCACAGTATTCAGCGGCTGACACAGAAATAATCACTCTGTGTGTGTCACACTTCAACCTCCGAGAGACTTACCACTCTGATGAACTGAATCTTGTATTTTCTATATATTGTAGTACAATCAAAACACATTACTACCTCTTAGGGCCTACTATACCTCATTTTTTCAGACTGAAAAATTGCATGTGGCCATTGAATCAGTGAGAACATCATAAAATTTTTTATATATATAGTTTATTTTTGTGGGAGATAAATTTTATACGACTGTTCTTTGCTGTCAGTGGTCACTGCTAACTAAGACTGGACATTTAACTCTTCTACCATTTCTGCAAGAGAGGTGTGTTTGCAGGAAAAAGAAAAAAACGCTTCAAGATGTTTAACTACAGTTTACTTTTTCTTTTGAGTGTCTTCTAACTTTTCGCTTTGTTCTTTGTGTAGAGTTGCTGTCTACGATTGTACTTTGAATCGCTTGCTTGTTGAAAATGTTCCTTTAATGGATTATCACAGTCTGTTCAGCACAATAAACATCATAGCCTCTGTGATCCCCATGTTGTTTGATTCTTAGACTTTTGTCACAGTTCCATAAAATGAGTAATAAAGTTTGGTCACAGTGACCAAATTTGTAAAAGCTTTGCATACAAGTAGTCTTCTTTGTCCCAGGACCGTAGGCGCGTGTCTGAGAAGAGCATTTGCTGTCAGGGGCCCCCAGGGTGGGCGCTTGGCGGGGGGCACGTTACAAATGTCCCCTCAAGGAGAAGCACTCATTCCCAGCATGGGGCTCGCCGTGCACGGGGAGCGGAGGTGCCACCAGCCAGATGGAAGCACCACAGCACGGGTGAGGCTGAAGTGGGTTTTGTTGCCCTGCCTCGGACCTGCCCGGGGGGGGGGGGGGGGGGGGGGGGTCTGCCAAGTTTAGGGGCTTTCTCCTCTGGTTAGGCCAGATCACGGTTTGCATCCAAGGCAGTTTGCGGAGTTTACATTATGCAGACATTAGGTTAAAAATAGAGATGGAGGAGTGCAAGCTGCAGTAAATCCCTCCTCCATGGAGACAGCAGGTGAGCACACACTCACCTTCCTTCCTTGGGACACCTGGGCTCTGTCCTGTGCAGCCTCCTGGCTTCTCCAGCTGCTTTGGGGCCAATGTGAGGAGGTGGCACAAAGCTTCACCTCACCCTTAGGCACATCCTTAGGCTGAGAGCTGCTGCAGATACGCAGATGAGCCTAAATCCCTAACCCTCTTCTCTGGGGCTCTGGGGAAGTGCTTTATCATCTGAGTTTGCACAAAAAGTGAGCAGTACCAGAGCAGCAGGGCTTCTCAGTGCACCTAGATGCCTGTTTGCCACATCCCTGATAGTTCAGGTGGGAAGGAGACACTTGAGTACTCAGATCAGCTGGGACAGGGACGTGGCTGGGTGTCACCTGGGACACAACTTAGATGCTCAGGAAACTATGCTAAAACTTAGACCCCAAATTTGTCGCAGGTGGGTTGTGCAGATTTTTTCTGGCTTCCCCACCTCATTTTCTCTTACATGGTCCCATGGCCTCTTACAGAGGGATTTAGAGACTGTGGTGCATGTCCATTCATTCATATTTGCAACCATGCCCCTGTCACCTAAGGTGGTTGTTCAGGTTTAAATTCCTCAGATATTTAGTTTTACACATTCCTTGTGTTCACTCATTTGCAAACCATCCACCTAATCTGTTTCGGCCTAGTAACCTCTGCTCTCCCAGGGGCTTTATGGCATGTTCCCTTTGGACTTGGTTACTCGTAAAATAGCCAAAATACAATCACAAAATGTGTGTTAAGTAGTAACACACATTCAGTCCTGAGTCAGAGACGTGAGTAATTGCATTCCTTGTGTTATGTATCCTCTTCTCCTTTCCTCTCTCACCCAGCTCGGTGGTAGGAAAGGATCATTCCACCTCTCAGTCTTCCTGGTGGTCTTCTTCCCTGGGCTTGCCATCGCTTAGCTCTTCCTGTTATTTCATCTGATGTGATGCTCCAGCTGTAACCCGCCCACCTGACGGATCAGCCAAGTGGCTGAACTTCTGCTACCCTGTGCTCAACTCCCCTCTACTTATTAATCATTCCTCCAGTTTGCTTCACTCCCACTTCCCTTCTTGGGGCATCTTCCAATAAACTTTTGCACGCTTTTATGCCACAGTGGGACTATTTGTATGTATAAAACCAATTGGCTTCTGCTGGATCGAGGCCTGTGTTTGTCTAGCATCCAAGGCCGCTTTATCCAAAACGCCTGTGGCAAGGGTCATATTAAGTTTCTGCTTTAGCTTTCCACTCCCATCACATCACAGTCACACAGAGACAGGGAATTACTGAAAGCTGGTGCTGCCAGTGCCTTGCACAGCAATTTAATTGTCCATAGCTTTATTTTAAACCAAAACATCTGCTCCGGTTGTCATTAGAGACAGGATCCAACACAATGGCTACAACGTGTTCCCCCGATCGCAAGACAGGAGTCAGATTTGTCACCTGGAGCCCGAATGAAGTAATGTTTCCCACCCTGACACCTTTGCATACTTGGATGCAGAATTTCTCTCTCAGAGAATTCATCCTTCTTAACCTCCCACCATCTTCCTTATCACATTATTTTTCAAACATACAAAGAGGCTTAAGCATACAGCCTTTGGTATAAATGAAGGTCCAACTGCTTTATGTTTTCCTGATTCAGAGAAAAGACCAACTGAAGCTTCATTACATCTACTTGCTCAGTTGAAGCAATACTTTCCACTGTGCATTATATATATTATCTGAAAAACATGGGCATCCTCTTTGCCTGGATGTTTCATAGCCAGCATGGTTAACAGTGTGTGTTGGTGCCATGCCCCTGACTGGCTCCCGACTCATGGCCTTGCAAGGAGACACGAGTGGCAGGAGCACCTTACCCCTTTCCCATACCAGCTGCCTCACAGGCACAGGCTGAACATGCCCTCCACCTTGCTCCTGGGCATCTCTTGTGTGGCTTCTGCTCTGGTGGAGCTGCTGCTCCATCTGCCCACACAGCCTTCAGTTGGTGAGATGAGCTCTGCTGCCACTCTTACCCTCCAGGCTGATTCACTTCCATGTGACAGCAAGGTTTAACTTGTTCTCTTCACACCTTTGTTTTCCCTTTGCCACCTGAACAACCTCTGTGCTACTGGGTACTTTTGTCATTTCTTTCCTTCCCACCTGTGATTTCATGCTTTTCCCCCCACCTTTGCTAAGAGCTAGCTATTATTGCCCCAGACTTTCAGTGCACTTGTTCCAGCTTTCAAGAAAAAGAAAGAATCTTCCCACAATGAACATCTTCTGAAGATACATGAATGCTATTACAATTAGCCCGAAGATAACAGTCCAATGTGGTATCATTTTAAGTAGGAAACAATCCAACTATTTGCACTCCCAATAAGGCTGCAGATGGTTGTGCCCCAAACCTGCAGCACCAGATTATCACCAGCTTTCATCTGTTAGCAACAGGGGAAATTGAAACACTAGGAGATAAGACATAAGTCTTCAACAATGCTTTCCTACTAAGATGGAGATAATTAAGCACAGCTAAAAACATCAGCATTGTCATATAAAGGAGGAGCTTTACATTGTCAACAATGACTAGGGTAGAACTGGAGCAGGAATCCAAACATACGCTACATTAAGGCACACTATTAAAATAATCAGAGAAAGAAAATAACAAATGAAAGCTGGGTGGATCTGAAAAATCAATGGCAAGCAGAAACATTAATTAGCCAGAGAGGAAACTCAGCAAAGGCAGAAGACCCATCAAAAAAATAGGATTACATTACATTACATATGAGTGTCAGCTACAAAATATTATGTAGGACCACCAAAGATTATGATTTTAATCATAAGGTTTTTTAATTCAGAAAATCCATTAAATATATATAGTCCCTTAAGGCATTTTATTCTTAGTTCAGGGAGTAGGCAGAAAAATAAGCACATTTTTTATTGCATTGGAACACATTTACCATAAAACCATAGTTTTAGCAATATCACATAATAAAATCTAAAATTTAAATCAACATTTGAAAACAAATCAGCTCAGCAGATGCATAGAAGGAGTTATGTTGGCCCAGCATAACTGCAGAGTACTGTCTTTAAAGCTACATCATGGTCTAAGATAGGGCTTTTATGAGGCCTGACATGCTCTGGAGGTGTTTACAATGAATTACCACTCCCAGACTGCAGCTGCGCTTGGGGCCAAGACAAATCAATCTCTATCTGAGGCACGGTTATAAGGCTGTTTTTGCCAAAGGTTCATAATGGGCTCGGATTGGGATGGTTTAGGTTTGGCGTTTATATCCTAACAAACACACAGTAACTTCAATGAAACCCAAGACATGGGGAATGTCACACACCAGCCTCTCCCCATGCAGTCCAGACTTTTGGTCTCCCAGAGAAAAGCAGGACCACATACATCTCTCCATGTGTTACTGGCAACGCCGCCGAGATCCACCTCATTGTCCGGATAAACTCCTCGTGTCTGAGGTCGGCAAGTTGGTCAACAAGTCAACAAGTCACCTTCCTTTTTTTCTGCGAGGATGAAGGGGTCTTGCCTTAAACAACGCTGTGTGAGACAAAGCCTGTGACAGAACTGGCATTTGAAGTGGCCATAAGGAAAACCCACCCTCACCCATGCAAACCTTCCACAACCACGAGGCATGTGTGTCTTTAGGTATGGGCACGTATGGGAAATTACATAGCGGGACCATGACTGTGACTGCCTTCTAAACACCTTAAAACATATATATGTTTTAGATTTTTTCAAAGGTTTCTGGTGATTCTCCATCACATGTGCCTCTGCTGTTGTTTTCTTTTATAACACATTTGCACTCAGCAAAGTGTTATACCGAAATTACAACAGCACAGCAGTGACACAGCACAGGGTAGGAGACCAGAATAAATGTCAGAAGCCTTGTATTATCCAGACCAATGAGTACAAGGGACTTCCATGTACTAAAATTTATTTTAAGGTGTATCCACAGTCTTATGGAGGGAAGAAGTGACAATTTATGATTTAAATCTCTAGAATGAAATTGCCTCATCAGCACTTAGTTATCCATGCTGGGAATGGAAGCTGGCTTCCTTCTGTCAGAATTCGACACAAAACACCTCGGTTTGGTTATGTGTATGAGTTGTATGAATGAAGTCCCCCGTTTCTTAGCCAATACGCACAATTAAGTGGAATAGCTCCCGATTTTGATAGGAAATAGGTTCAAGGAAGGAAAATAGGAAGTTTTCATTTCCTATGGAACACAGGAAGCATTCATAATCTTCTGTCTATCCCCCGTCCCCTAACAACTTCAAGGCTATTTCCATTCTTTTCAGTAATTAGCCTTGACCTGTAAAAGATGACCTCTTTTATTGTCTTTTTCTCATGAAATTTTCTTGTCCTAATACCAGCTTATAGTGCACAGATTTACCTTTGTACTTTTCTGAACTCTACGTTACAGGGATTCTCCAGGTCTGAAATACTCTCCTTGAACATGCAGACCTGAAAGTAAATGGTTGTGGCCAAGTAAATGCTTT